AGGAGGGGGGGGAAGAGAAAGCCTTGATGGTGTGCAAGCTCTGTTCAGGAACAGCCAAAACACTGGTGTGTTTGTAACAATGTTTTAGTCACAAGTCCAGAACATTGCACCACAGGGACTGCCGTCCATCCCACACAGAGTACAAGAAGCTACACTTTTCACCTGGAAGGCTCTGTTATGGTCAGTAGCACAGAATGTTTCTGGTATTGCAGGTGAAGATTCACGCTGGCCCAAAGTTTGCATCTTACCTGACATTCAGCCCTTCAGAAGTGAAATCTCTGCGCACGGAATACGGGGACCTGGAGTGCTGCATTGAGGTGGTGGACAGCGTTCACGAGGCCGTTGAACATATCCACAAGTATGGAAGTTCTCACACGGATGTTATTATCACAGAGAATGGTTAGTGACCAGTCTCCTTCCTTAAGCTACTGTTTTGGTTTGGCTGCCAATTCCTGATTTTAGTGTAACTAATTACATTGTAGTAGTTCTTCTCTCGGGTCTGTGCCAGTTCAAAACCTAACTAGGGCTGTGCCGAGACTCTCCAACCAAACCAAGCCCAGAACTCCTGAAAATCAGCTGCGTAAGGTCACGTTGATCTGCATCTGAACAGTGTGTGAGTCAAGCAGGCTTCTGTTCCTGAACCTCCTGCTGAGCTTAAATGAGTGTCACTAAAAGGCATGTGTTTGATACCATATAACCCACTGCCACGAGAGCTGGTGCACCGGTGATCTGTAGGGACTGTACTGGAAATAGAGCTGATCCTAAATGTTTGTCTTGTCACTAAGGGCAACTGACCTGCAGTTCACAGACTTGCATGTGGTATTTCTACGTTGTGGTTCCCAAATATTACCTGCAATAGCAATTGAGTTTAGGATTTTTCATTATCTAGAACAATTCCATGTTTTAGACTAATGGAGACCTGACTCTAGTTTAACAGTTTGACTGACAGATGTGGTTTGGGGCAGCTGTTTTTTCTCCCCAGTCGTACAACTAAATCCCTCTTTGAAAGTTCTAGGCTGGATGATTTAGAATTAGACATTTTTTTGCTTTCTTCTGGTCTTCACAAGCTTCTTTTAACATTTGCAGTTGTGTCTACTTGGTAAGCATACTGGGAAGGAGGTATAAATGAGCATGGCTTAGCCCAGGCTTTTTAAATACTGTCTGATAAGGTTGCACATGAAAGTTGTATTGTTACATCTGTTCACTGGTTTGTGTTGTATTTATTGGAGTGCATGACCATTCTGTAGGTAATGGATTTTTTTTTTGTCTCTGCCACTTTCCCAGAGGAAACAGCAGAGTTCTTCCTCCAGCATGTCGACAGCGCTTGTGTTTTCTGGAATGCCAGTACCCGATTCTCTGATGGCTACAGATTTGGACTTGGTAAGAGAGAAAATATTGCAGGGATGCAACTGCATAATTTGCTGGAGTGTGTGAAAAGTGTGGCAGTACAAGCCCTGGAAGATAGGATTAGTCTCTTATCTTAGTGTCTAATAAGAGGTTTTCAGGAAAGGTTCTGTACGAAAGCTGAAGCCTAGACACACAAAGCTGGTTTGAATCCTTTGAACCTCTGTTCAATCAGAGTAAAGTGTGCTGCATGCATATGGTGATAGAACAGTGCAACCCAGGATGTGAAACTAGTAAACAGTTTTCCTTTTGTTTCTCTTCCCAATGATGCTGTAAAGAATGACATGTTTCGGTCCTGCTGGGCAGACTGAGCTGCTGTTCAGTGTGCCAGCCCTGCAGTGTTGAGGAATGAAGGGCAGGAAGGAAACTGAGGATGAGTTGCTTAAATAAACAGGTGCACTTCTCTGAATTGCAGAAGACAAGAGAAACATTCTTTCCTGAGGTAGAAAGCCTGAAGTCTCCACTGCAGGCTGTTAATCTGTTATCTGGAACATTCAGTGTTCCATGTGATTCAAAAATTTTAGTTAAGATCTTGAAATATCTCCTCAGTGTGATAGAAAAAGATGTAAGTTCATAATCTTGACCAATTTAGCTATTATCTTTTTGTTTTAAAGGATTAAACTCTCAGGAAACAAGTCTAAGTTCCATGTAAGAGATACCTCTCTCTCTTGCATCTTTCTTTCTGAAAGTAACTGTAGCAGCCAGAAGTATAAACATTGCAATTTATAATGAAATAGTTAACCTCCTCTAACTTTTATATTGGGTAAACAGAACTTCTGGCATTTGGAGAGGAGCAGATAATGGCGGGTCACTGAAAGGCAGGTGGCTTTTTGACATAAAGGTGTAAAACTGCTTAGTATGAAGTGAACATCATCAGGAGATTAACTGCTTTTGTTTTGGGTGTTTCCTACAGGTGCTGAAGTGGGAATTAGTACTTCTCGTATCCACGCACGTGGACCAGTGGGAATTGAAGGACTCTTAACTACAAAGTGGTTGCTGAGGGGGGACAATCATGTTGTTTCTGACTTCTCAGAGCACGGGACCATGAAGTATCTTCATGAGAGCCTCCCGCTCCCTCAGAGAAATGCCAACTGAGAATGTTGGGGTTGGAGTTAAAACCCGGGGGGGGGTATAATTATTTCCTGAAGATGTCCAGGCTTCAGGACACTCTCTGGTGAAGGAGTTTGTCTTTCATCTTCAAGAGCATTGTCCTTGGTCATTTGCAGTACAGTTAATACAAAATGATCGCATCGATGAGATTCCCCCCCCCCTTTCAGTTTCCTTAAACAGTATCTGCAAGCTGACCTCACTCCTCCCACAGACAGATTTTTCCAAATCATGCAGGTAACGTAAGAAAGGACTTCAACATCTGCTGCATTCTTTTTTTGTCCCAATGCTCCCTATAGCAAATATGCTTGGTGGTGGAGCATAATTTTTTTTTTCATAAGTCTTTGTTTTATTCAAGTATCTGTTCTGGAGAACAGACTCAATAGTTTTGGTTTTGAGCGGTTTTTTCTTCAGTTTTATGATCATGGCAGCTTTTGAAAGCCAGAAAGCTTTACGCTTAGTTTCTGTGTATTTGATAACTCTTGAGACAGGGGGACAGATGTTCCAAATGTGTAGTAAGCTTTTGACCAAGAAACCTTTTATATCTATTTCTTTGTATTGTTGACTATTGTAGATAAATAACATAACTGTCTGCTGCATGAATTTTGTTATTTATTTGTACGAAAGGTTTATTTTTCTTTGGTTTTATATAAAACTTAACCTTCCACAACCCCTCCTCCGGCAGCAATTCTACTTCTATGATGGCTTGTCTAGAATGAAGCTCTGGCTCTGTAGGAACGGTTCCCTTGGCCGCAGAGTGGAGGAGCTCCCTGCAGGGCTCAGTGTGTCCCGCTCTGGATACACTACATTCCTGCTGGATGCAGCATGTCCCACTCTCCGGTTTGGAGGTCGCTATGGGGCACCTGTGGGTCTCTGGGATGTTCTGGGGCCCTGGGGAGCCCCTGAAGGTCCCTGTGGCCAGCCGGGTGTCCTTGGGGGTCCCGGTGGGTCACTGACAGGGCGCTGCGGGACCCCCGTGGGTGCCGATAAGCCCCGCCCTCCTTTATGCAAATAAACTCCATATATGGGCAGCCTGCCGAAGGGGCGGACCCACGCTCCTTTATGCAAATGAGACCACGTGACAGAGCCTGCTGGAGGCGGTGCCGAGGCGGTCGCGCCCCCTTATGCAAATAAAATCCATATATGGCGACCGTGTCACGTGGTGGTGAAGCCGCGCGCTGATTGGTGAAGAGGGAAAGCGGCGGGGGGGCGGGAGGAGGCACCGCGGAAGCTCCTGAAGCGCTTTGGAGCCCCCAAAAAAGGCGCGGTGTCCCCCCGGGTCCCTCCATCTCTCCACCTGGCCCCTACTTGCCGCTGTTTCCTTCCCCTCCTTCTTCCCGGCCGCCGCACTCTCATTGGCCGCCGGCGTGAGGCGAGCGGCGCTTCCATTGGCTTAGCGCTTCGCGCGCCTCCGCAAAGACGGCGCTGATTGGTCAGCGCCGCCACGGCTCCCGGCGCTTTCCTGTGTCTAAGGGGAGCCGCGCGCTGATTGGCTGAGCAGCGAAAGCCCGCGAAGGCGCCGCTCTGGCAGAGGGCGGGGTGTGCTGAGGCGAGCGTCGCGCTGATTGGCCGCCGGGCGGAAAAGGGGGGGAGCGCCCGGGGTGATATAAGGAGCGGCGCGGGGCGCGCTCTCCAGTCTGGCGGCGGCGGTGGCAGACGCTAAGCGGCGGTTTAATTAATTAATTAGCAAATTTAATTAACGGGAGCTCGCGGGTTTGACTAAGGGATTAGTTAAGGCGTTAGTTGGCGCCGCGGAGGGTTTTGAGGCAGTTTTGGGGCTTAGTCGGGGAAATCCGGAAGGGTTTGCGGCCGGTTTCGAGCCCATTTATTGACTTAAATTAATTTGTTGCCTTAATTTAATCCCCTAAGGGAATAATTTAATTATTTAGTCGATTAATTAGTTTTAATCGCGGGTGTTTGGCGGAGCTTTGGGGTATTGTTTGAGGATTTTCGGGTGTTTTCTGAGGGGGCTTAGGGCTAAAAACACTTTTAAACCCTGTTTCTCCTCAAGTTAAGGCGAATTGCCTCAAATTTTTTCAGTTGTAGGTAACTTTTGCCTCAGGTTCTTTAATTCTGATTAAATCTGCTCCATTTAAACGTGGTTTCAGGGCTTTTTTGCCCCATTTCGAAGCCAAATTTCTCTTTTAAACACTTTACCTGAAGTTCCACCTTAATTAAACCAACTAACCCTAAAACTTAAATATTTATTAATTAGATAAAGTGCAGTTATTTAACAAGCATTTTAGGTGTTTTTTGGTGTTTTCTTGAGGCATTTCAGTGCCCAAAGCACCTTTACCCCTCAGTTTTTTAATACCACTGCTGTAATTTATTAATATTAATTCAGCATTAACTTGGGGGGATTTCTATGGGGATTTGAGACTTTTCAGAGGCGTTTTTGAGGTATTTCAATCGCCTTTTCATCCTCCCCTTTCTTAAATAACTTAAATATTTCCTTAATTTATTTCTATTTATT